TAGTTATTGATACAATATCTACAATCTGTCACAACATGGAGAAGCATCAAGATAGACACATTTTTGGAAGGAGAATCCTAAAAAGCAGTTATGATATGCAGCAGCTGGATGTTAGCTTTCTCATTCTCATTCTCATCTCAAGTTGTGTTGTCATCGCTATCACTGCCCTCATTTGTATCTCTGCTATGTACTTCCCATTCAGGTATTGTTTCTACTCAAAACCAATTGTTCTCGATTCAATTTTCGCTATCACGTACTTGATCTGATATCAGCAGGGGAAAACTTCCATTGTTCGCAGACTATAAAGGGATGTCTCTAATGTAAAATATATTTGTGTTCACCAAAAAACACAGGTGTAGAAACTCACTTCCAATTTCTCTCTATTCAATGTGACCAGGCTCAGTTGGCAAACATCCTGCCTACATATGTGTTTGAATCACAAGCTGACAATAGCATTCACACACACACAATACACTAATGCTCTCACCTTCACCTTGGGTTTTTTTTAATGGAGGTTAAAAAAAAGAGATTTTACATGGTAGCTTGAAAAACAACAGCCACAGTGGTGGGAGGACTACAGGAAAACCATTGTGAGGACATAATGAAGACGGTCAATTGTCTTGCTGTATTGTTTAAAACATAGAAATGAATGAAATGTGGATCTGCTTGGAGGGCAAAACCCTCAACACATTTATTAATGGTTATATCATACCTACAAAACCACTTTCACACATTAACATGGCTCACTTGCTCAGATAGTAACTAGCAGACAAATGAGAATAAAGAGGTGATTTAATATAAGTTCACTAATAATAATCTTTTACATAAATCACTTTCTAACTTTCTACAATGCAAAACTGCTCCTACATATAATCTTTATAGGTTTATATGTGGTACATAAAATAGTTAAGACTGGATTCCTTGACATTTCTTTTGGTACACAAAAAAAAGTTTCATTTGGATTTAATTAATTAAATAATAATTATAATTAACATAGCTATCATCTTGATGATAATAATACTAAATTTGTTTGACAAAGAGTGCAATCCAAATAAATTTAAACACTACAGGAGCAACAGAAAATTGGTTAATGACAGCATTTTTCAACTAACTTGCCCAACGCCGCATGTTAGATCCCAGTTTGATTCATGCACACAGCTGATGTTTAAATCATGTGAATGAAACAGATGGTTAAAGTGCAAGAGAAATGTTTAAATTAGAGCGAGACCTTGTAGGAACAGTTTATCCTACTTGTAAATCATGGAAGTTGGTGCTTTAATTTATTATTATTCATCTCCACCTCAGCGTGGACACATCTTGACAGTTACAGTTTTACATTAATTGAGCTGCCAAAGACTCTTGACCTTAATAAGATAGCAATTCTTGAGGGGGTCCTTCAGTTTTCCATGGTCTGCTAACCTAATAAATAACCCTCCTAGATCTAAAGGTCCAATCTGTTTGAAATGCAGCTGGGTAAAAGAAACTATACATTTTTTTTCATCTGGACTTAGTAACTCCCAAATCAAAACACATAAGACCATGTTTCCCGAACATAGATAGATACATGTTGGCAGTAATTGTTTTGGCACAGCATGGTGGCTTAGTTCCAGCACAAAAAGAAAGAGACGAAACAGGCAAACAGGCACAGCACACAAAAAGGAAACCCATGAATGTGAAAATATGTACAGTGGATATATCATATGTATAGATCCTTTCCCCGGCATAAAGTAGCCCAGGCAGAAAGTACAATGATTGATGTACCAGTGCAAATAAGTCCATATAACATAAAGTTAATGTATCATTTTATCCAAGTTATATTTTATCTAAGGAGGATTATTAAAGGACTCTTTGTTCTTGGGATTGTTAAACAGAGGAAGTGAAAGACAAATCAAGATCTACTTAAACTAATACAACTCTGTGGCAACTAATATAAGAAAATCTAAGAAAGTGTACTCTGTTTGTAGAAGTGTCTAGAAGTGTCTGCAGCCATGTTAGTGCTCATTTCCGTCCCTCCAAGTTGTGGAGACATTTCACTCAACACCACAAATGTGAACCTTGTGGTGGTGCTACATCAGTTAGGATGTTAACCATGGAGGTCTGTACCAAAGTTTCATGAAAATCCATCTGATAGTTGTTGAGAAGTTTTAGTCTAGACCAAAGTGGTGGACTGAGCAACATTATCATTCCTTATGTCATCATATGTGACCATCTGAATCGATTGATTAAATATACTTAGTTAATTTTATAACTTATATTCCATGGTCATCTTTATTTCATGAAGGATTTAACACATTTGACCCAATGGTGAAATAACAACTGAGCTATTTTTCTAAATTTTCAAGCAACAATATTTGATTCAGTGTAGTTTAATAATGCGACTTTACATTGTGTGGTTGTTTATTACATTAACATGTGTACTAAACATGCAACTTTGTGTACATTATGCACTTTATACATTATTCAACATTATATTTATCACTTGTTGCACTACACTACACTACAGCATGCCCTAAAAATCTCATTATAATAGCATGTTGCTGGACACAGATACATGGGAATAGAGGGTTTTATGGAAAAACAGAAAAGCTGGATGATAGCATTCACGCTCAAAGTAGACTTGGACCATGAAGTGAGGCCACACCACAAAAATAAACCAGTGATATCACAAAGAAAATGAAATGAAGCATGTTCTTTGTGTTGATTCGTGTTTTTGTTATGTAACGCTGGCTTGTGCAAAGCATATTTTCCATCAATATTAATGGGTGGGCTCATGCAGAGAGAAACGCCTCAGAGGGTGAACTCGGCCTGTCACAGAGGCTGAAGATGATGCTGTGCCGTGAGGTCCAGTCGGCTGTGAGTGGTAGTCGACCAACTGTGACACTGACAGCATGAGCGTGGGACTGTGGCTAGAGAAGATGGAGGAGGTGGACGTCTGATGCTGCAGCCGGTATTCCAGGATGGATGATGAGTGTATTTGAGTGCAGGGGGCTGAGGCGTTGTAGAGGTGCTGCAATGGCCTACAGACCATTTTGTATCCCTTCATTTGACCCACTAAAGCCAACTTGTTGTCTCCTGTCACCACCTTCCTCCACTTTGAGTCACATAACCTGACGTTCAAGTAGAGCAAAGTGGAGGACACGGAATCTGTCTTGTCTCTGTTTTGTTGATGATTTGCATGGCATCTTTTGTTTTTTGTGATTACACATTCCTCATCTTTATGCATTAGCAATTACAAGAGGATGCACCAGTGCAATTTGGGTAATGGACATTTTATCATGCAAAGCAAGCAGCTGTTTAGTGGATTCTTCTCTATATATTTCTTATCTTCGCTTCACAAACAAACCACGCATCATCATTGCTGTCTATCTATCATATCTCCAAACTTGAAAACAAACAGATTTTATTAGTTTTTTGTATAGTTTTTTTCACAAGATTACTTTGTTTATCCAAAGACTTTTCACAGGACCGTACATGATAGATGTTTTTGCCTTCAAGCCTGGAGGTTTTGCAGGTTTACAATATGTCACCATTGGAAGTTATTATGAAAACGCTCATAATGGCGCCGATGCTCATCAACCATGTGGGAACTGTATTATTTCATGTGGCAGATGGCAGAACTGAAGCTTTCACTAAGGTCATCCTTTTGTGGGAATTTGTGTGTTTCAGCAATCCGGGAGGAGTTTACGTTCTACAGTTAAAGGTAAAGGTGGATTTTTATGTCCATTGGTAGTGCTATTGCACCTTTAAAATTTGCACATGCCAATTACACTTCTGTGTTCTTAGACTCAGTGTGGTTAAATTTTATTACTTTTAACCTATATTATTGAATTATGGTAATTTTTTCTATTTTCTTTGTGGCAGTGTTGAGAAATTGAAAATAATGCTGATCTTGTCAGACAGACATTTTTTGCTAGAGTTCTTAGAGTTGAGTTAATAAACAGTAATTTATTCCCAGAGGAATTTCCTTAAAAGAGCTGCTCGATTTAAATGAAATTTGCAGAGAATACAACAAAACTAATTCAATTGTGAGAAGAAGGGGGGTGTTGGTATTTCTAAATCTTGGCTATGACGCTGGCAGAGGTTGAGAGATCAAATATCCAGTATAAGAATTACTGTAGCCTACCTCTAGTATCACTCCGTCAAATCACACCCAATGAATTCGCCCTCCTCGGATGTTTGTTTCTGTGACTGTTCAGACTCTTCAAACTGTATCTGGGTGCGTTTCCATCCACTTTTTTATGTGCCAAATGTGACAAAGTGCAGTGGATGTTAGGTTTGACTGTCACCTGCAGCACTTTCTTTTTCTGCAATGATATAATGGCACCTGACTGGAGATTTAGCGCCACATACTGCTACTTCTACAAACCAACTCCTAATACTCACATAAAGGTAGTGGATGGAAACGGCAGAAATATGCATCTTCTTTTGAAGATTGTTAATTTTTGCGCTCACTAGGTCCACTTCACTAGGTGCTTTTCCATCCATCTGTTTATGCAACATTTCCAATTTGCACAAAAGTGGGTGGGAAATTAAAATCAAAAGTCAAAAAATATTGTAAAAAAAAAGAGAAGAAAGTCACCATTTAAGATTCAACTAGCTCTTCTTCTGCTGTGGTTTAATATCATCTGACTGGAGATTTAGCGCCACCTAGGCTACTGCTTGTCCTCCTAATAACAACAAAGCACAGACTTTATTTTGCATATTTTCCGAAATTCTTACTCGGCTGAACCAAAGGTTACTGTCATCACAAAAGAGAAGGTTGCACAACGATTAATTAGTGGTTCTCTCTTATGACTTACCCCACAAACCTTAAACCTACATCAGTCTATCTCCAGCATCCTGGCAGCCTTGTTAACACTCTTCCTCCTGGGACCCGCGGTCAGGAGTTGTGAATGGTTGGATGGGGGGGGGGTGCAGTCATACAGATGCAGCTCTTCTGCTGAAAGAGCGCACAGAGAACAGCGCAGTCCGGTGGGGCGGCAGCAGCGGTTCAGCTCACTTCACACATCTGAACACTCACACACACACACACACGTTCACAGCCTCGCTTTCTTCACACACACCTTAACATATTTACTCAGGAGTTCTTGCAGTATCGAGGAGTCTTGATTGAAGAAAAACTAAATGGACAGAATGGACGCTTCACGGCTGTTCTCTCTACTGCTGCTCTACGGATATCTGCCAAAAGTAAGTAGGCTTAACTTTACCAATATTCTGCCTGTTATTTTATTAAAGGGGAAACTGTCTTTTATGGTTTGCAGTGAAGAGTCCGTTTACTAAAGACAGTTCTGACCCGCATTAAATGAGTTTTTATAGACATTGAATCTCCTTCTGTGCGCACAGGAGGAGCGCGATAAACCTTTCTTATAGACACATTTAGATGAGTTTGGAAATCATGATTCAGCTTCTTTTACGCGCTATTGGCTGTGTTTTATGGGTCGATATTTATGACCGTAAATACATTTAGCTTGCTTCAAAATTATCTATCTATCTATCTATCTATCTATCTATCTATCTATCTGGTGTAAATGGTGTTTTGCCCTTTGTGATACTGCTTTTTGATACACATTTAGAATAAAACCTCAACCATATTAACTATCCTAGTGAATTTAAATAATCTTTTTTTTACTCTCCATTTCGCCTTTATTTTGTTCGAAGAAGTCCTCAATTCATTCGCATCTGACTGTAAGAATTCAGAAACATATTTCATCCTTTGTCTGCAGCTGAGTCACAACTTGGTGAAGGTGAAGTTTCTTCAATAGCTGGCAACAAGAAGAGTGTCAGCTTCAATGCCAGCACACAGAATAATGACAAATGACACAAGATGTCAAAGGATTTCAAATAGGAGACTAAGGACACAGTCAGACATGCCTCCGACTAATATTATTAGAGCCATAATCAGAGTTAAAATTAAGTAATTTTTTTTTTACCAGATCTGTCTGAGATCAGCCAATTTTACCTGAAGTCAACGATCCCTTTATGTTTTTTACTTGCTATGTGAATGATGATTATATTGGATGTTTCATGCAGGGACCACTGAAGGTAATGCTGTGATATAGTTCATTTAATACACACACTACTGGAAATTGGTTTCTGGTGAATACAACTAAGCATTTATACCACCCACTAAAATATTACTACGTCTCATAAACAACAGGGTATGCCACTATTATGAACAAATTGTACACAATGTGGCCATATCCAAATCACTGCAATATTTTGATAAAGGTAAAAAGTGTGAAACACACTGTGTACTGTAATGCTACAGAGACGTCCTGGCTTACAAATCTTGTTCTCCAGATGTAAGAAACATCCCCAAAACATTCCACATCATCATGATTTTAGTCTTGTTTGTCAGTGAAAAGAAAATTTTTAATGAAAAATTCTCACATTAATCATGAATAAACTGTCAAAATAATCACAATATGACATTTTTACCACATCGTGCAGCCATAATGCACAAAAGTTTCAATTTATATTTGTACTGAATTTGGTGGGAAAGCCTTTTGAGGCATTGCCACATAATAATAAGTAATTTTTCAGTATCATAGTGCTGCAACTGTGAAGTGTGCACATGAGGGTACTAGATGCATAAGCTTTCATGCATTCAATTACACAGAACTCTAAAGATATATCTTGGAAATTAAATGGACAATCTTTGAGTTTTGGCTAATCTGAATGGGCCTGAAATGATCCACCTGGTAGCATGATAAAAACTCTGGTCTGCTCTGAGTTGCCTTGGGAGTTTGGGCTTTTCATTAGGCTTGTTAAGGCCAAGTGTCAGCTGCAGTTACATTTTATTTTTCAGAGATGTTTTAGCTCTATTAGGAATGTCAGAAGTGATCTGCTGCTGTTCTCTCACTGCACACAACTCCTGACAGGGAGTCACTTGTGCATCATATCTCTGACAGGCATCAGTGTAATTTCAGTGATCAAGAATGTCAAAGCTTTTTGGAACAATTTCAGAAATATGTGAAAGAAAATTGAAAAAGAAGTCTCGTTGGAGCTTAAGATCTCTGATGGTGATAATGGTTATGTCTTTGGCTGGATTTTAGTCATTTGACTCTCAGCATGTCTTCCTTTAATGCCTGTCAGTGAAGTTATTTCGAAGCAAAATAGACTGTGAACATCCAAGTGAGTGTGTCAAAATGTCTTCCTCCTCACTTCTGACAACTCTCAGATGTCTGGCCCACCCGAGGCTTTAAAAGATCAACAGATACGTCATTTGTTGACATATTTTAGTGGCTCTTATAGGCACCAGTGTGGAAAACATTTAACGGTTTCCTAGCGTGCTCCTCGTGTCCTTTCCACAGTCCTAGGTGGCTGCTTTACAATAACATACCCTGACATGTTTCATCAATATATCTAGTGAGGAAATGTGGTGTCGAGTGGAGTGCAAAGAAATCCCACAAGGGGTTAAAAAGTGGTTTTCAGTGGCTGGATTTCACCATTATTGGTTTAACACAATGCAGATGGGAGCAGAAGAGATAAGAGAGGAGTATGGAGTGTGGGTGATAATGACTTCTCCTTCCTCCCTCTTTCCAAACAGGAAACCACCTGATAGAAACCAAAAGAAACTTTTAAAACAAATAATAAAGATACATTGATAGGAATAGTTTACATTTTTTTGGGGAAATATACTTATTTACATTTTTTGCAGAGGGTTGGATGAGAAGAATCAATACCACTCTTATGTCTGTCTGAAGTTAGAGCTGCATGATTAGCTCACAGTAGCTTAGCAAAGACTGGAAGCAGGGGCAGCTAGCCTCGTGTGTTTGATCTGTGCCAGCCGGCGTAAGAGACTGTCAGTCCTTTTTAAAACATTGTATTTTTCTTTATGTATTTTCTGCATACACCGAGAAATATGAGTGTTTTCAAAGTTAGTATTCATGCAGTTCAACATCCAATGTCAAAGTATGCTAACCTAGCTAATGTTATTCATTTAGCAAAAAGCTATTGCATTATTTTGTAATTTGAGGTAGCCTATTGTTTTATTTAGAAAATATAGGCAGGATGATTATTAAAGAGACACTTTACCCTAAAACATGTTTTTGAGCTGTAAACTTTATGGAATTATATGACTGTTAAGTTGAGCTGCAGGCCGCGCCCCTCTCTGCCTGAATACATCAGGTGTAGGTGTGTCTCCCAGCCTGAAGGCAGCAGACTGAGTGCAATATACTGTGATAAAACACATCAATGCTAATAATTTACTTTATTACCAAATATATGAAAATCTGCATTTTGTGGGTTAAAAATGGCTCAACAGGCCTTCTTTTGTTTTAAATCACTCTTTATGTTTTAAGACCAATGCTGAGTTACAGTTGACCGTTTGGGCTGTTTGTGAAACCGCTGCGTCTATTTTCAGATGTAATCTGATCGCGATGCATAATTCACTGGAGTTTATGGTAGTTTTGCAAACTGTTTAAGTTATTAATGTGTAAATATCCACTTAGTATCTTACACTTGCAATATAAAGAGGCTGTGGGTAAACTCACAAAGAACTGTGCCGCAAGCTATTGGAACTCAAAGTGCCTGTAGAGAAACAGTTCCAGCAGATAACTCCTTCTGTTTGTGCACAGACTAAACAAATAAGATATCCTGTGTCAATTAGTGAGTTTTATAGGTGCTGGTATGCATATGTTTTATTTTTATATGCATATTTATTTTTAACTTGAGCCAGGCAGACCGTTTCCGTCTGCCTCTGGTCTTTATCACAACTTAATCAACTTCCGGATTTAGCTTCATGCAGCAGTTAACACTTATTGACCTTCTCATCTAACTCGTGGCAAAAAAAAAACAATTAATTTCCCAAAATGTCAAACTTCTTTATGACATTTTGAAGATGCTATTATCTGGCACAGTTTACAATTCTGCTCAGTATTACATACCTGCTGCACTAACTGATGTCAGACTCAGTACGATCCAAAAAAGGACTCCTGTCTTCATTTTAATTTGGCTGGAAATGTGTTTAATCTTTAAATCGTGTCCAATTCTTAATTACTGGCTAATCTACCCTAAGTGAAACAACATGAGGTGACTGCTGAAGACGTATATGTAGATGTTGCTCTCCAGTGAAGTGTAGGATGGGGATAATTACATTTACTCTGCATTGTGTGGCCACACACAGACACAAGCTTCTCCTTTCATTTCTCCGTCAGCTCTCCTTCTTCTTTATTTGATCGTTATCTTGTACTCAAACAAAGCAAGATCGGCGGCTGTTTGAAATGACAACAATCTTAAAGCAACAGCCCGGCAGTCCTCGTGATGAGCTCTGTGCTAACAAACTATCAAAGCTGGCAGGTATTTATGTGATCTTTTGCTCATGCAGACGCTGTTTGCATCCCTAAGGCTTTGCAGAGGTCCATTTATCATCTGCATAGTTTGGGATTGCCATTTTGATTCATTGGCCACTACTGCAATCTCCATCGCTGGGCAAAGTGTAGATGTTATAAGGACCCTTCCCCACGTCTCTTGTATCTTCATAGATTAGGAAATGTACCCCAAATTCACCCACTCCTATAAATCACATACACTGATGATTATTTTGTTATCATGTCCCTCTTTGTGTATTCAGGCTCTATTCACAATATACAGGGTTATACATAATAAACTAGCTCCATGCAATGAAGAGAGCTTAAGCCCAGCAGCCAAACAGTACAAGTCCATGCACACATTCCAGTATCATGTCGGTTTCCCCCCCCAATCAGGGACTTTGTTCCCGTTTTTCTACTGTTTATGCAGCGTTAATAGTTAACGTCATGTTTGTTTCCAGTCTGGTTTGCATTTCCCAAAAGCCAGAAGAAACAAGAACAACACACCACTTTTAATATGATATTAAACTAAAAATATGTTTTTAGACTAGAAGCGACCAACAGTCTGTGTCCTAATTTTAAGATTAATTTCATTATTTAAATACATATTTTTAACTGTCACCTGTTAAATGCTAATGACAGACGGTCATGACTCTGAATGTTGAAACAACCAGAAAGGAGACCGATCATTAAGTTAATTTATTTTAACACAGTGTATAATCACACATGTCTCCACCTGAATCCACTGCTTTGTCGTTCCTGAAGTCAGAGTCCTGGTCGGAGCCGCTGTAATTCCGCTTGCCCCGTCAGTTTGTTGCCTGCTCCCCCGGCTCTGCTTCTGGTGCTCATTCTCCTTTGCTAGTAGTGTAAACAAACCTCCCCCTGGCCCTTGAGTACCCAGTCTGGGTTTAGTCAGCTAATACGACCATTAAGTAGCTAATGGCAGCTAGTACTTTCGTCCCAGTGACAAGACGCAGCCTTTGACGATTTTTTTCTTCCTATCCAACTAATAAAAAGTGGTTCGACTAAGACTCTTGACAGCAATGGTTTAGTCAACTATTAGGAGGCAGCCCTAAATATTAGCTTAATTATATTCAAGTGTCCCAGTAAACTGAGGGAGCTAAACAGAAGAAAGCCATCATTTATTGTATTTACACATGTGCTTTTCCTAGGTTGACCTGTGAAAATGTCTTCAGTAAAAGAGTCTTAAAGAGCTGAAAAACATTGACATTTTATTGCCTTTTAAAGTTACGATTATCCTGTTTGCAAACAATAGCTTATTTTCAGATGTAGTAAACCACGGAAAAGTATTAACATATATTTGGTGTTCTGTTTCTGGCCAACTGACTGTCCAATATTTACTCTCCTAAATGCTTCACTATGGTAGCAAGTAGTGCACAGTGGGCCGAAAACAATGAACAATAAATGAATGTAATCAGTTAGAATAATATAAGATAGGATCAAATGTTACAAAAAATTTAAAAATTAAAAAAACTAAAATTACATAATTTTGATTATTGTATCATTTTGCATATACCTGACATATTAGTATATATGATCCAAAATATTCTTAATAGTGTAATATTGTTTAACAGAAGTGATTTTCAAAATAACTTAATAACTCAGTTAAATAATGTAAAAATAGTTACTTTTTTTACTACTTACTATATTGCAGTGCTGTTATGATGATAGACAAGGTTATACAAGGTGAAGAATATTATATTCTCTGTTTTAAGTTCACTGTGATGATAAAGTATTACCTTCCTCTCTGAGGGGCTTTAAGACTGAAATCCTCTTTTAAGTGCTTCATTGCTACATTGCCTCACAATCAATTTCTTGCTAATCAAAAATAAGGTTAAATAAGGGTCTGACCAACATGTGATTTCCTCCTTCATCCAAGTTGCTCTGCACAGATAATGTTAGCAGTTTAATCTCCTGCCTCCCAGCCAGTGCTGCTGCTATTACTTCAGGATATGTTGGATTTTCTGCTGTAATCGGTTGCAGGCAAAAACTCCTGTGAGCAGAGTTCTGTGGGTTGTGATAGTGTCAGGACGACCTCATCCCTCCTCGGAGGGAGCGAGGGGCTGTGTGAAGTAAACATGGAGTTATTACTTGTACTGTATGAACTGCTGTCTTTTCATATTTTCCATGAATCTTGCTGCTGCCCTTGATGCAGTGTTTTTGTGATGCTTGCAAGTCAACAATAGTGACTTTACCCTTTGTGTAGGATTTAAATATGGAGCATATAAAATACTGATATGGTTTTACACAAAAAAAATGGTCCAGTATGCAACTTAGGCAAGTGTGATGTACAAACCTGAAGCCACCAGTGCACAGACACTGAGAACAGACTTTAGAACTTTAGAAATTAACAAAATTTCATTGAGCTGGAAATTGGGCTGAGGTAGAAGTAGTGAATAACTTGATAAGGATTTTAATGTGAAAATTATACTTTCTTGTGCAGGAAAACACGTCAGACACACATTGTTCCAAGGACACTATTTGTGTACATGTCTTAATAATTTTCTGTAACTAATGGACGCAAGAGATGTTTCCTTCACTGAGAAGTTCATTCTCAGTCTTTGTGTACTCAAGGTTTCAGGTTTCCACATCACACAAGTTTTTAATGTCATAAAAACTGTGCTCGTATGTGCACAAGCTCAAGAGTCAACAGATGAATGGGAAAACAGACTTCCAGTGTCAAACTGTGCACATACGTCATTCAACACAGTGAAGGTCAAATATTATCAGAACTGTCATTGGTTACTTTGTGTAATGGTCATATGTGATGGTTTTGACTAACAATGTAATTCTGCTAATTCTCGTTGTCTTGGAGGTTATTTTGTCAGTGGCCTCCACAGTTGTGACTTGTAAGGAGGTCATAGACTGTGCCAGTTTTAATCAGAACTATTTTTTCATCAGAATTATTTAGCTGCATAAATAATTGTGGCTTTAACTAGACCAATCAGAAAAATTCCCTCCACAGAAACACACACATGCAGCCGCATGTCGCTAGCAGTCGCTAGATTACCACACAAACTTTTACAAAGCCCGTCAAAGTGGATTTACACTATAAACAGCATTTTATCAATTATCAGATAGTCAGATGTATCAACCACAATCTCTTCCTGTTATCAATCAGCTAGCCTGTGTCTGGCTTGCTGTAGATATTTAATAACAGCTCTCTTCATTAGAACTAGTTTTTGCAAACTTTTTAAGTTATTAATGTGTAAATATCCAATTAGTATCCTACATTATGACGAATCATAAAAAATCCAACCATAAAGACTTTTTTTAAAGAGGTTTTCACCTTCTTTGCTATGCTTTTATCGGGTTTGACCTGAAGCAACTAACAGTTGCTACAAATTTTTTATAAACAAAAACTTTTCTAAAAAATCCTATAATCACATTAGTTATCTACATTATCTGCTCCTTGCAGGAATCCTAGTCTGTGTTGATGTGTCTGTGGTCTCTTAAATATTCCTGCACAAAAAGATATCACATAGCACAGCAGGCCTGGTAGATGTTGTGTACTTACTCGTTGTCTAAATGATGAACACAGCTTATCTCTGAGTTTATTCTATTCTCATAACATTTAGTCATTGCACTACTATGCATACTCTCAATAATGCTGTGATAACATTAAGTACATAAGCGTTGCTTTGAGAGGTGTCCTTTATCATTAATGACACAGTTTGGTGTGTTTGTCTCGTCTGAGGTGAGCAGTTCACTACAGACTGCTCTTTCAGGTGAACTGGGAGCTCAGTAAACAGAGCATTTGTGGATGATTAATGAGGATCATTTCATGTTTGACAGCACCTGGGTGGTCGAGGCTCATGAAACAGACTACTATAAGGTCCAATTAGAGACCGAGTACAATTGTAAATACATTAAGTGCTTTGTGCTGCATCGCTCCTCTCATCCTGACCTTTACTGCATTGAGTCTTGTAAGCACTGTAGCTTCAGTGGCAGGGTGAAGCGCTTCCCTGGGAGTTCATGAATACACTTTGCCTCATGCCGACTTCTTCTTCTCTCCCTTCTCTCTCTTTATCTCCACTGACCTTCTCAAGCTCTTTGCTGCTCTTCTTACACGTTTTCATTGACCCACCGGCTCTCCGCCAGCGGCTGTCAGCTCGCATTTTTCTGCCTTTGTTGACACAGATGAACAATCGCTGTAGATTACTCAGTGGCTCCCGTCTCCACTTCCTAATCCATTTGCATGATAGCATCTATTTTCCCTGCAAGAGGGAGCTCTATTTGGTTTCAGACATAGAGAACATTACTGTGTATTTATTGTATTATTAGCTGAGGGTACATACTTTGGCATATAAGGCCGTAGTTGCGGGAATGTGATAAAGGCAAATACTAACTACAATATTTACTAGCGCATATTCACTGGAATGTAACCTTTCTACTGGCCTCAGCCTCACTGAATATAAATTATTTCAGAGTCTAATTGCAGTGTGACGGAAGCATATCCAATTCTTGACACACAAATGTACTTTCTGCCTCTTCCGCAGGTGTTATCGGTGCAGATGTGTGACGTGATGAACGAGATCGAGCTGGAGAAAGACCGCTGTGAGAATAGCACCTTGGGGAACGTCACTTCAGGTCAATCACAAAGACATATTTTCCTCTCTCTGGCTGTTCAGGGTGTGCAAGAGGCTATTTAGAGGGAATGGGAAACAGCATCAGGGAATAAATAGAGAGGTAAAAGGTAATACAGTGAGGGAGTCTATAGATAAAGCACCATTATAGCAGGCAGAAATACAGGCCAGAGTTCCTCCAGAGACATAGTTGAATTATCCTGCCTTTACCTCAGATTACTCTTTCAATTACCTCTCAGTCTAAGACAAATAAGCCATAATCAAATGTCAGGGCTTTTTATTTCTTATTATTTAAGTCTGACTACATCAAGTCTGACCCCGACCCAATTTCCAAACAAGGAGAGAGTGTATAACTTCAGTTTTAACTCACCAGAACAGCACTGTTTTTTATTTGCATTTCTGATAACATTTAGACCATTTATAGAGTTCTCTCTATATAGTATATAGCCGATGAATGTAGGTCCTACACAACTTTGGTGTTGTGTTTTTACTTTTTGTGTCTAATTAGACATTTTCTCAGGACTGTGTAGTTGTGACTTTGCTTGATTGACACCTCCCATTTTACACCATTTGTATTACTATACAGATTGTGGGTGATGTCTGTTGTGTCCAAAATCACTACATTTTTAGCTCATAATTTATTAACAGACGCTCAGTATTTTACTCTTTAACTCAGACAAAATACACATATTTTTAAATTCAGCAAGGGTGATTCAACATGAGGATATCAGACCATAAATCCTCTTAAAAATAATAGAAAAAGGAAGCTCCTCAAAACTTTAGAACTTGCCTTATCAGTCATCACATTTTTAAGTTTTCTTCAGTATTAAAGTTATTGAGTGATTGTTGCCTGTATATCCATGGCTACATGGCGAACACCAACTGCTAACAGCTAATTCGGCATACTTTCAATGGTGCCAATTTGGCAAAATGTCACTCTGAGAGAGCAGAAAGAGCAGAGTCAGAACCCCTGACATTTTGCTTGCTCTCTAGTGAGCAGTAAATGGACACTTATGGATCATCATCATTTTACATCATCACTGACAGGTGTTGTTGGTCCTGACCTCCCTGTGGACCTGAGCAAAATCCTGCTGACGGTCCCTCCTACCTTAAATTTGCCACACAGTCACACCTTCCTCCCCAGTGCTCCCACTACAAGTCTCTCTCCTTTGAAACAGTTTGTTCCATCTGTCAGTCTAAGACTAAGTAGACCTCTTAACATTAACAGAAATAAGAAATTGTAGAAAATATAAAATGTAGAAAATAAATAGGCTTTAGTTCTGCTGCCTGGTAATTAGCCCAGTCCTCACAATATTATTAATTATTATTAATTTTGGCTTTGGCTATATGATGTAAACGTAAGCCTATGGCTACAGCTTTATTTCTCAAAATAGCTCCACCAGGCCTCTTCAAACTGGTTCCCCAAGATTTAAATATTCTTGCATAAAAAATACTATTTATGCTAAAGCTTGGCTGAATACTTGATGGTTATTATTTACTGAGAGATGTGCATCAATATTGCCAACCAGCACATGAAGTTAATGTTACTGTTTAGTCATATTAACCGACTTCAAATTTTAGGGAGGATTAATTCTCATGGTGTCTCATTTTTGTGACCAGGAGGATAGTTCGGCTTCATCCTCTCATTGAAGTTCTCAACACTGACACCTACTTTGACACAAGGGGGATATGATGCACTTGAATCATTTGCGGGTCCCTGGGCAGCTTTCGTAGGGAGCTAATGGGCCGACTGGCTCTGGGAATAATGTTGCACAGAATCAATATTCACTATATATAAAATGCAGCATATTGCATTGTGGGATTGTAAGCAGAAATTAGTGTCAGTGTTAGTTTTTATTTCATAGTGGGAACTTTTGAGGGCACTTTAGTTCATTAAGTTCACACTCAGAATTTGGACACTCAAATAACATGTTGGACAGTAAATATAGTGCACTATAAGGAGTTATTTTGGACATCTCAGCAAATGCTCCACCCATCTGTTCACAGCCTGAACAGAGGTCTAATCAACCAGAATAACTAAAAACAGGGTGCAGAGCCATTAATGCGAACAAGCATAAAACGTTTTCATCATGTACATGACCTTATAAGGTTAAAGCATAAAAATAACCATGAATGAAGTTATGATGGGTTTTTACCCAACACTGCCACTCGCAGTCATAAAAATACTTGAGTGAATATATATATATATATATATATATATAATGTACAGAGTCCGACCTCTACTCAGAATGAACATGAGATAGATTACGAATATGGGGGTTACTGGGCAGAAAATTACATCCATGCCCTTCTACATACATACTACACAAATAAGGCTAAAATTAATATTTAAGCTTTACTCTGGCCCACTGAAGTATGGTTTGTCCTCTAAAGTCCTATGACTTTAAGAACACAGTGAATGACTCATCTATATTAATTGTGCGCTATCTCCATGTAGTCTAATTTTAATGAAAAATCACTACACATACTGTACATACTGAATAGTGCATTAAGTTAATATACGTGAACTGCAGCTTGGCTCCTTATCTCTGCAATGACCCTCATTTCTCTACTTCCCTATCTGCTTCCTCAACAGGAAGGTAGTGGAAGCTGCTCTCAGAGGTCACATCTCTAATAAATGAATTAGCAGTGTGTGCATTTGTGAGAGAAACCATATGTTCACAGCCTATGGTTATGCAACATATTAAATATAGAGATTGTCGGACAGTGAAACAGAACAGGAATAAAAATAAATATCTCTGGACAGTTTGTGTATTCTGGTGTCCAGCACACGCAAACACACTGTTACAAAATTAGTTGGTGTCCTGAAGAGGCTGTCTAGATAGAAATTGTCTAAAGTTTATAACTGTACTTCCATTGGGTTTTGAACTTCAGAGGTCTATGTCTCAGAAATGCTTCATTGCTTGACTTTTTGTTATTTCACACCTTTCTGAGGCTTCACTCATGTGTCACAAGTCTATTTACTGTGCTGCTGACCTACCGTACACTTTCACAGTAAAAGGTTGTGACTTTCATTTCAAACATAAAGAAGAGTTTAAAAAAGTACACAATTGCAGGAAACTGAAAAACGTGTGTGTGTTTGAAACAAAACTTGAAACAACTGTTCCCAGCTGCAGAAAAAGAATAATAATAACACATAAAAACTTTTATGAGCTAGTAAAAGGACCCTTTCAAAAAAGAATTGAATAGATGAAAATACAACAGTCACAAAAAAGAGAAGTACAGTATATTTTCGAGATACAAGGACAAAGAACAAAAATCTCAAAATATGATTTTTATGCTTGGCTGAGGTGGAAAAGTTGTGCAACAAAGTGCAATTGAAACAGTGATTCAGATTAAATCATAACTTACATGAACCATGTGACTTCCACTGAAGAGAGGAAACCATCAGATCTGTGCGGAGTGATTAGGAGACTGTAATGCTGCTCACATTAATACATAAAATAAACATAAATTACATATTTCCGTAGTGTTTTCTACATTGTTAAACACCATTTCCTCTGCAATGGTTTAATGGTATCTGACTGGAGGATATCTCAACAAACCAACTAATCGCATAACGGTTGTGGTTGGAAGTGATTTTCTCAAAATTCTGTTAAAATTTGTGCTACATTTGGATGGAAACTTAGTTATTGATTGTAACAGGGTCCAAAGAAATGACAAATTTGAATCTGTATTTATTGTTATAAATCAATACATTAGATTTTTCCATTTCTTTTCCTGGCAGCCACTGTAGATATTAGGGACTAAGTGTCTTCAAGGTGGATTAAAAGCACTTGAAATCACATAAGATTTATGATTGTGTTCCTATCTTAATAGTTAAATTATTGCAGCATTTAAAGAATACATTTTTATTATAATTATTTATATGAAAAAGGATAAACTCAGAATGTATAGTATAAACCAACATATTCACATACAGTATCTATAATAACCTTCTTCTCCTTGAATTAAAGTTATATTGGTTATATTGTATTACAATTGACTAAGCAGTCACTGCACTGCATTCATTGTATCATGGGTGTCATGTTAAGCACATGATTTAATTTAGTCATAATGGTGTGTGTATGTGTGTGTGTCTGTCACAATACGAGTGATGCCGTGTTAATAGTATCGTCTCCTCCTGGCAGATTGCCATGGCATGTGGGATATCATCGCCTGTTGGCCGCCAGCCAGAGTCGGAGAGGTGGTTACAATAGCCTGCCCCACTTACTTCAGTTACTTCAGTGACCAGCACAGAGGTAAACACATCTTCCTTCAGTTCATGTAAATACAACATGCATACAATATATAGTTTCCATTTCATGTTCAGCCTCAAAACTATCATTTATTTATCAAAACTGAATAAATATACCAGTCATGTTGTATTAGTGGAATAATTCATTTTAAACCTACAGGTGCTAGAACACGACCTTGTGCTGCCATTTTGACAGTAGCTCAAGGCTGACATACATGACAGATTTATAGATTTTCATTTATTCACATTCTTTCTCCAGCTGTGAGTATCTTGATATTTAAAAGTGTATTTGCATACAGTCAAGCCTTTGGGTAGATACTGAAGATGAAATGTGTTGCTTGCATGCAAATGGACATTGGAAGTCATCAAACTGGTGGATTTTACCTCCTGAGGACAGCAGATATTTATTAGAAACCCTGCAGAAAGCCCAAGGCCAACAACTTGCAGGAAAAGTGGATATTGATTCATGAGCCTCATAAAGAGCATCATTACATCGTTGTTATTTACAAGACCTATCTGTGAAAAGTCAGAACTTTTTACATTTGTGTAACATTATAGAAGGAATAAACAGCAGCAAACCTCTATCCAGAATAGTTTTGACCCTGTGAACCAGCTGTTTCAGATAGATGTTGGGGAGTTCTCCAGGTTCCTCAAACGCCTGGATAAAAGTTAATCCAGGTTACTGTAAAGGGTATGCAGCGTTTACATTAACCAAATGAAAGACCAGATCTAAAATGTGCATGTAAACTCAGTCACAGATTACAGTCAGGGTCTAAGAAAACAATCCAGCTCATCTAATAAACCTTTATTTTGGAATGAGAACAGACAAAGAGGGAGGAGGAAGAGAGATGATTCACAAGAGAGACATCACCAAATTTTAGTCAAGGTTCTTGACAACCATCCTCTTCAACTCTGTTACTTCATTGACAGCGTTTTTTTTTCTCTTCCTGACCCATTTTAGATCGCTTCTTTCTAAAGGTGCTACTCAAAACCTCCCACTCAAGACTTCATATGTGTCTTTTTTTGCAATCTTGTCTTTGCTTGCTGATTTTGAGCCCTTTGATTTTTTGGATTCCTCCATTTGCTTCCCTTCTTTCAAAACATTGTGTCCTTGTTTGATCCTCCTGCTACATCAAACCACTTCACTTCCTGATTTTCGAAGCTCTCAGTCTCAATACCTGCGCTAGCATTGAGACATCAGACCTTTTAGAGATGTTCTGATACCATTTTCTCCTTCTTGATACCGATTCTGATACCTAAACTTTGTACTAAGTACCACTCCTATACAAATACTGTATGAATGCTATCTTTGTTGTTTGGCCTGATTCAGGTTAAACCCTTTGTAACACAAGAACAAATACATACAGAGAATGAATGCCATAGAACTTTCTTTTATTATCTAGTCCGACATTTAGCTAGCTAATGCTCTTCTTCTGAACCTGATGAGGAAGTATCAGGTTCCTGTTTTGGGGCTAATAAATTACGTAATATCGGATGGCTCAACCGATACCCGATCCAGCATTTTAGGCTGTATCAGAGGCCTTTCTGATACTGGTAAAAGTTTCCGATCCATAAGAACCGTACCTTACTATTTGTCTCTATTATTTTAATTCTGAAGTGTCTGGTTACATTTTGAGATATTATTTTTCTATATCTTAGTACTATTCTGATGTTCTACAGACAGTGAGATTTTTGTGCAGTACTGAAGTTGTATTTTTTGCCTTAATGTAGACTTAAATCTAAAATTGGGTTATTAAATTAAACACACATCACAGGCGGGTAGACTCAGCATGAACACCAATTTTAGATATTTTCTGTGATGGTGCCTGACCCAAACCTTTTCCACTCTCAGAGTCATTCTCAGATCACTGCTGATGGATATCCACTTCTTCTTTTCAACACCTTTGGGCGACTTCCCTCCATCTTTTTACCTGCTCTGCCCCAGGGAGTCAATGCTCATTCTTGCCCCCTGACTGAGAGATACTACTTACTATTGGAGATGGGGCTGATAGGGCTTTTACTTTAGATAACCACTGCCTTAGAAATCCCTGGGACATGTGTAGTGCATAGACCACATTCAGAACCCCAATGAGATGAATATGATGCTAACTTGGGTATCTTGCAGTTGAAATGGATTTCAGCAGGTTCTCACAGATAGAAGGGCACATCTGGAGAAGGAACAAAAGCCTCACATTTGTTTCAGACTTTTCAGTTAATGTAGGAATTTCCTGCCATCCTTTTTCCCTTATACTGTACACATCGATGTTAACAGCTGCTGGTTCTCACAGTTATTCTTTCAAGACTGCCTCTTTTTCCACCTTCCGAGACAATAAAATGGATCATTAATCCTCAATTTCTCCCTTCTACCTTTGTCGCTCCTTCCTGGTTTTTCCCTGAATCCTGTCAGCATTCCCATGTTTCGCCTTTCACTTTGATCTTATAGTGGAAATGATGAATACATACTATAAACAAACATATACATACCATGGATTTGCTGTAAACAGCTTCCCTGGCTCTGTCCAAAGGTAAAAAATCTGTCTAGGAGCACCTCTAAAGCTCACTTACTTTTCTAATTTACGCATATTATCCTTTGTTACCTTTGGTCAGAGCCAGGTTTGCTGTTTCACCCAGTTTCCAGTCCTTATGCTAAGCTAAGGCAACAGGTTTCATATTTAACACGTAAGAGTGGTATTGATTTTTCAATGAGTCTAAGCAAGACAAGAAAATATTAAAACTTTCGTCTACATTTCTTTAAAAGGATTATTAGGCGTAAATCTAGGCAACTGTAATTGATGACAGTCGATCCATTACAATGCATGTTTGGCTGTTAGGAGAAACAGTTTCTTATGCCTTTTTGGCTCACAAACTGTCTCTTTTCACACTCTGATCATTTGTCAGTTTGATCAGTTTCAAAAGTTTTTACTGCAACGGCTCTATTTTCTTCAAATTCTTCCTGTACCCGAAAACCTCCCTCAACCTGAAATGCTGCTGTTGCGTACCTTTGCATGTTTTGTGGCCAATTCATCACCTCTTAAACAGCCAGTGAAATCTGAAATATGGTCTATCTAAACTGAGCCATTGGTGCATGCTAACGTGTGATATATATTTTTTTTTCCTTCTGGGAGTGTTGCTGCACTCATACAGGCATTAGCACCTCAGAGAGTCAAACTGCAAATTAGAGACACAGGGAAATGTGACACTTCAGAGATGGAGGACACACTTCAAACCCCACATGTATTGCTGGGACCATGAAAGATGTTCAGTTTGAAGGTGATGGGAAAAGAAAAAACGGAAAAATTTAGTAATGCTTTGACTTGTGAGGTGAAAATAAACCACCACAGACATTAAAAGTAGAATAAAAAATAAATAAATATGCATTAGAATAATGTTAACAAATGTCTTTTTGGAATACTAATTCACAGCACTTAATTCTTAATTTCTCTCTTAATTTAAATGTATTACTGGTAGCTTAATTTCACCTTGAGTTCAAGTTTTAGTAAATTGAACTGTGATAGTAATTTGCATTTGACATATATCATTATCAATAGGGGAATTAGAAGGGCACTCAGAGGCACAATTACCACTCTAATATTTGATCTCGGTATATCTCTGTATAATAAGAAATTTAGGCTTCAATAAGACATATTTTTATGTAATTGGAAGCCATGAAAGCAAACGCTGTTCTTCCTGTTATTAAAGTAATGTGCTTCTGATTCCTCTTGTCTCGAGATACATAAATTCATAGTTCTGACCTTTATTTCCCACTGAGGCAGAACTGAACGATAAATGACAACTGCCTAGTTTGTTGTATATCATCAACTGAAATGGATCGTGGAACAACTCATGACAGATTGTTTATTTTGTGTGTTTGTTATGATTTTGTGTTCTGACATTGGTTAATGTTCAAATAAATTAGCATTTATAGTGCAGTTTTTGATGACTGACGACACTTCCCGTCAGTAGAATCAAAGCAAAAATACGTTGTCACAGCACCGTCCGTAGACAGTATCTGTCATTTTCTTGCCAAATTATTCAAAACATTCAATTCCAAGCGGATCGTGCAAATGTGATTGAAGCATATAAAGCTGTTGTATTAATCTTTAATGGGAAACACACTCAATCAGATCAGAGTTAACTATGGTAGGAGTTGACTAAGTTAATTAGGCACAAACCAACACAGAGATGAATAATATGTGTTACACATATTGGTAAAATACATATTTCATTGTATTTTATTATTTGCAAAGACAGCTAACAATGTTGTATAGCATTAAGTTTGTTTTATTAAAAGGGTTTCTTTTGTTTAAATGCAGACCTGGTTCTCTTTAATGGGTCTGAAGGGTCGGTCCAGAGTGATTTCTAAAGCTGTCAAATGTGAATTCATCCTAAACAAATGAGCAGGTGTTAGGATGCAGCCAAATAGTTTAATAGTTCCACATAAAATCTTTGAAACCAGACGTCCTTTTGTCTGACTCGGCGGCGTAGGCGTCTTCAAACAAGCTAACGTCTTTTCGGAATGAAAATCTTCTTGACTTTCATACACTCGGAAAGTACAAAATATTCATGACCTTTTCCTGATATTGAGTTGCAGCTCTTTCAGCACAACCCACATCTTCACGATGATTGACTTTTCTATCTACAGCTCCTCCTTTGCGATTGCTTCACCTTTAATAAGGAAAATCAATGAGTTACCTTGATTCACCTCGTCTCTGTGTTTTATGAAAGGAAGTTTGCACATTCAGGCGCAGTAAAACATAGCAACCACTCAGACAGTTAAAACCATCTTTCTGCCTAGTGTTGTCTCAAGTCAAGGTCATGTTAAAGCACTTCTAGAGCCTCTCTTTTTTTAACATGTGACAACAGCATGGTTATATTGAGCATCCATATAACCAGTTCACTGAAGGCCTCTGTCCTGTGGGACCAGGGAAAGACCTGCTGTCTTGCCCTCAAATCATCACAGCTGCTGCTCTTCAAGAGGTCCAGAGATAGCCAGTAGTCCACCCA